GCCAGAAACCCGCATAGCTTGATCCAAGATCAGTCTCCCGCAAAAGGCTTACTAGAGACTACTTTCCACTGCCTGCTTGGTGTAATGTTGGCTTTCACTTCCGTATATAATTCCCGGGCGCAATGACGGGAGCTGCTTGAGGTCTTCTATATTGATATTAAGCCGCCTACTTCCCGCCAAAGCTATTTATCTCGTATCTTCAGAAAAATGAAATCACTTCATCTCACCCTCCCCTTAATGATTATCCCTATTCAGACACCTGGTTGAAAATACTTTACTACACTCCTTATTGTGGGTTGAAGGGGAGCCCAGGACCAGTTCATATATAACTTGCTGTTGATGTTAGGTGTAGATGAGAATCAGATGAGTTTATAGCACAGTGTACTAACCTCTCCAACACCACTCCACCACTACAGTAATTAATTAAGAAATTATCATTGCTGGTAAGCAATTGCTTTAAGCAACTGTAAATTATTGACTTAAAGCTATCGTGACTGCAGGAATTAAACTGTAAATTGCAAACTGGTAAATCACTAATTTACCCGACCACCCCTATGCAACTGCATAAGGCAGAGCGAGACTATAACAATGCCTTATCAGCTGATCAGAACTTTAATGGATATTTAAGCACTCACTGAATAGCACACTGTGCCCTGAACCAGTCCCTCACAAGAGGGTTATTAACTGGGCTATGAAATTAACAAAGTTCACGGATGAGTGAGCCTCATTGCAGAAGCTAGGTTTTTGTGTGTGTGGGTCAGACTTAAGGGACCATGAAATCCAGTGCTCTAAGGACGAAATCTCTCCCCTGGCATGCCACCTACCCCCTTATTAAAACGATCAATCTTGTTTATAATCCTGAATAGAGTATATTTAAGCGTGCTGAAACAGCTCTGCTGTGGGGTTAGCTGCAAGGGCATTTGCATTTCCAGACTATCTTCTGCCTCTTGTGGAAGAACTCGAGGGTCAATCGGGAGTTTTGCAGAGTGGAGGGGCGGGATGACTCACTGCAGTGGATCCTTTGATGTTGCACTCCAAATGGCCTCCACACGCCTATCACTTGACATTCATCGTGTGGTTTGTCAACCTGCACTGCTGGGCTTTGGGAGGTAAATACTAAACTATCGATCGATTGGATTCAACAATGGTTATCGTCAATTAAATTGACATGTTCTCGATTACAATCACAAAGCTGCTTTGAAGAAAGTTAAGATAAAATTACATTCGTGGCAGGAGTCACACTAATATGCCTGCATCAATTAGTGGACTATCGTGAAAGGTATACATTTGCACAGCTATGTTTATATAATTTACATTAATGCATGTCATACATATGCTTCGCAAATGCATAATTATAACCTTGTACAGCTCTATTTAAAAAGGTGGAAGTAAAATTGTGGCAAGCTGGATTCGGGGTATGTCACAAAAAACACCAAATTGTGCCAATATATCGCTCTGGACTTGCTTGATGGATATGAAAATCTGGTGAACAAGATGGAAATACATTTTCATGAAGCATGTGAATTTTAAAAAGGCATCTAAGATGGTATTTTATATGAGGCTGTTAAAATACAAAGACAGCTCATGACATCAAAAGGTTTCTTGTACATTGGCTATATTTTTTTTGGATACCAAAGGGTGGATAAATATAGACTCTCCTCTGATTGCAGTGAAGTGGCTAGCAATGTATAACAATGATCACTAGTGGTGGGTATAATGCTCACTTTTATAATGACAGTATTCATACCGTAAATGCAGCATTAGGGATAAGGTATTTCGCTGATAACACTAAGCTCTTCTGCAAAGCCTCAGATAGAACAGCAAAACGGATCACTGTGCAGTGGTTTGAATGGCAAAGATAATTTGTAAATACTCTTTTCATAAAGTTTTAGCATTGTGCATGGTCACAATAATTTAAATATTCGTTTCAGAGAGAAAACTGCCCGAGCGAATGTGGACCTGAAGACATTTTTGTGGATACATTTTATAGCCACAAGAAACCAAAGCTAATTGCATTTTAAGTTGCATTATAAAGTGTAGAATGGACATAAAATGGGCTGTGTTGAGTTAAGGGCCACAATAGAGCAAAATAAAAATGTATTGACGGAGCTAATATAAGATAAATAAAAGGTAACCATAATAATTTGTTGTTTTCTGATAATCGGAAATGTCTCATTTCTTGCATCTCAGATAACAGTTCACTCTGCTGTGTAGGCTGTTTGCTCAAGAAACGGCACTGCTGAGGAAGGAAGCAATGGCTAGGGAGTCACTTTACATAACTTCCCAATAACAAATGCATTGCCCCCCACCCAGAGGTAATTTTAAGTTTTAATGAAAAACAATCAATACCTACACAGCTCGTTATCTGCATCAAAAATTCTTGGGGTCATCATAACTGGCTACTATCAATGTGTTAAAGCGTTATACAAGAGAACGTAAAATCATGAGAAAACATTTCACGAAGCTGTATGTATCTCTAATGAACATGATACACTGTATGTGATGAATGGATGTTTTTTTTACAATGGCTTCATTGGCTTTACACAGTGTCTATCGAACAAGAAGTGACAAGTTACTGAATTTTCCATCATTTGGTGACAGAGGTTCTTGCATTTAGTAAATATACTGTAATACAGGTGCAAACTTCATAATTCAAAAGGCATTCCAATAGGATCCTCTGGATTGTAAAAGGTTACACGAATGAGTTACAATAAATAACCTTTGAAGTTATTTGTATATACATTGTATACTGGCCAGGGGAGGTTAACTCAAGAAAGCAAATTTTAACTATTGTGCTGTATATGGCTTTTCATGATGAAGGCACAGCTTATTATCCAAGCGGCCTCTCCGGTTTCATAAAGGTGTATATGGCTTGGGTAATAGACATTAATTACTCTTGTCTGAATTATTTCATGCATAAGTGTGCATATGTTGTGGTCGGTACATCATTTTAGGTCTGTAAATGATACTCTGCAAATAAAATACAGTAATAATATAGCTACTTTACAATTTCATACGATGCGAGTATTGTACATTGTGATAATTATGGGTGCAATGTCAAGACAAAATTACAAAATATAAATCTATGTTATATTCCATTGCCCATTCCCTTCCTCTTCCCTCCCGTCGCACCACCACTCCTTCGCGTCCCTCCCCTGTAGCCCTTTCATGACCCCCACGTGCCCTCTGTTACTCATTCCTCGGCCCTTGCAGGCCCTTTTCATCTAAATCACTCGATTTTTGTTACCGCTGCTAAACCATATTAAGTGCCTTGAGCTAAGGCGCTCTAGAAATATGAAATAAGATATGAAAAACTGTTTGATATCAGTGATGTGATTTTGTTGAGACACGCATGAACTAATTTATTTAGTTTTTCTCCCTAAGGGTTATATTTATCAATCTTCAAAATCCGTTTTGCTGCTTCTCTGCTCCAATGTATGCTATGATGTCTTAAATTGAATGTGTTGTGTTCTACAATTTTTTTAATATTTTTTTTATCAACTCTTAAAAAACGCTGTATTTTCTTCATACGAAGCGGAGGAAGTATCCACAGTCACAAAGAGTTTTAATAATGGAATAACTATGGACATCATCAAATGGAACCAGCTATTGGAACTAATTTAGGGGACCTATTTATCATTCTTCCATTTAAAAAGGAAGACAACACTGATTTTAAAAAAATGCAGATCGATTAGCCCCCGACCACACGTATATAACCTGTTTAGAAAAAAACCGATTGACATAAAGGTGGCAATAGACAATAATAATTACCGCCCTATCTAAATCCTCTCCCCTCGCGTCAAGATCTTTAAATCCCAAATCGAAACTTTAATCTCATATGCCCGATTCGATTTGCGTATGGTTGTCACTCTTAAGACAAAAATATACAGCATACTTGCACATTTACCTAACTCTTTTTTGCACCTCTTGATCTCATATACTTGCAGTTTTTTTATATTATCGTGTTTCGTTAACAACTGTTAAATACATTGTTTGTTACTTGTCCAATATTCCTGGATGACAGACTTGTTCTCTGCAATGTTGATTTTTTTCTCTGTTTTTCGCTGCTGCTGTGCTTACGCACCACAGATCTCCATTGCAAAATTGCCGAGCAAATTACTAAAATGGATCATAAGTACATACCTGTCAACCCATACGGTTTACCCGTATTCTTGTACAGGGAAATATAGTTTTTAGGTCCATACGGCGTACAGCGGTTTCAATACGGGCAAACATGTTTTGGTCTGTAAAGTCACGTAGAAGGGCGCTGTCTTTCCGACAGACCTGTTCTTCACCTGAGGACGGCTGCTTGCGTTGTGGCCGAAACGTCGTGAGAATTATTTTATTATGTTTTATTTTTATTATTTTATTACTTCCCTTCTACGTGACTTTACCGAAAGAACCAAGAAGATAAATCCCTGCAGTCACGAAAGCTTTAAATCGAAATGTTTTGCTCTATTTGTGTTTCTCCCTTGTGATGGGATTTTGTAGGATGAACGTTGATATTTTGTAGGGCACGGGGTGACCAATAAGGTCTGAATTTGTCTGTAACAAGGTAGGGCACTGATAATGGTTTGCCAGCTATGTAACAAATGCAAAATAAACTAAAAACTCTGAACCGTGAGCCTCTTGCAGCAAGCGGCGAACGCGCCACCACTGAGCCACGACACAGCCCTCACGTGTCGTCAACACAACCTCCAGTAACAACAACTCGGCGTTCAAGGCTTCCACCCAGCAGAGGAACAATAATGATTCGTACCTCCGATTAGCACAGTTGGCTACGTACGGTGCCAACATACATGACTCAACTATTATTGAACTGACAAATACTGTAAACTTTCTATATATATTATGCACCAATAATATAAACAAAAACCGCTTTTATCAATTGTATACGTGACAGATTTTTTTTACACCAAAACGTACAAACATGTTAAATGTAATTTTAATAACGAGTGAAATGTCACGACATATAGATATATCTCAACGTGACCCCTCACCCCGGCCACGGTATCGTGCGGCCGTCTGTCGCGAAGTGCGCGCCCCAAGTTGAGCACGTAGGCCGCGGCGGTGAGGACCGGGTCGGCCTGGAAGCGCCGCCGCGATTGGGGCACCGAACCCGGCAGAGAGTCAGGCTCGCGCCTCACGAACTTGTGCGTTGTCACGCACGCCGCCTCCATGTCACCCCGCGCCGTTGCTATGGGAATCGTCACGTGGAAGGCGGGTGACGTCGTTTTGAAATAGGCGGGGCCTAGGTGCTTCACGCCCTTATGAGCTGTCCATGGTGCTGAATCCATTGAAAGCGAATCTCTCAATCAACTCTTTGGTTCTTTCGGTAAAGTCACGTGGGTAAAATAATAATAATAAAATATCTATCTACCTAGGTGACTTTACCGAAAGGAACCAAAGAGTATGGATTCCTGCAGTCACGAAAGCTTCAAATCAAGATTGAATCCTCAATATATTAGTCAATAACATTGCAAGCCCTGAAGAAAAAAAGATATAACAGGTGACGTTTCGAGCAATGATCCTTCGTTATTATACATAACTCTTAGCCACTCTATATCTCTGTCCTATGTGTGTGTGATGAAGAAGGATAATGTTTTAAGTTTGTGTGCTTGTGCACTATTGCCAACGCATTATGACCAACTAGTCTATATATACGTTTATAATTGGCGACGTTTCGGGCAATGACTCTTCTCTCTGGTTCCACGTGTATTATTGACGAATGTGTTGAGTTCTTTGTTATTTGTGATTGTGGCACCACTGCCAACGCAGCATGAGAAACATTGTAAAATATAATGTATGAGAAAACTCAGCTGTGTGTCTCCCCATATACATAAAACATGTTATAGTCCATCAGCCTATTTGCATCCCAGATGAATATCAAGGAGCCCGTGTTTAAGCGAGAAAACTCTGGACTCGCTTCCACATTCTGGGTCTCATCAACAGTTAGGCTTCTTTGTGTAACGTATTCGATTCGTTTCCCATTGGAATGAGCGAGCTGACTGTTGTTCGTATCTGAAGTGCAATGTATATGTATATAACATAGTTTCCAAAGTACTGGAAGCTAAAATGTCGCGTATTTCGGGAGATTCTTATGATCGCAAACATGATGTAACTTTGTATAGTTTAAAATGTGATTGTGGCAGTTAAAAACTTTAATCAAATGAACCCTTTCAGAGGAAGCGTGGCCATTGCATTAGGGATGAAACACTCGATTATAAGGGTTGCAATTCCTGCATCGACTCGCGCACATAAAAGCGTTATATATTATTCTAAGATATAACATTCAAACTATATTCAAATGGTACATTTATGGAATTGGAGGAAAGAAGCTTTCCAAAGCAGAAACTAGAAAGCATGGTTAAATAACCCAACTATGGGAGGCCCGTCATCAAGCAGCGGATTGACAAAAGGCTGCAATATATGAACATGGTGGTGTACATGCATGCAACAATATGACATTTGCTTTGCATCTATAAACCATGAATTTAATGGGCTGCTATATCCTGTCTGACAAAATGAATGCACGTGTTATGATCTACACTGCATGCTTTTGTAATATTCACTGTGTAATTTGCACTAATGCATTCTAAATGTAATGTGTGTACATCTGAAATTACTTTTTGCACCTTAGTTGATTTTTTAAATGTTTTTCTCTGCGTCTTGTGATTGGGTCTTTTTTTTCTTTGGTTGTATCTTGTACAATACTTCATTGGCATGTTCCTCCTTTTGTAACCCAGACTACCTTTGCAAAATTGACGTTTCGTATCAATGGCTGTCATCGCCTTTGAATAAAGGTATTGATTAATTTAGGTGTGGAGGTGGCACAGTGGTTAATACACTGCGCTATGAACCCGGCGACCCGAGCTTGAATCCTAGACAACGCGAACATCAATGGCAAGTGATATCACAATCGGTCCTGGACACCCCCCTTCATCAGCCCTCATTGATCAGCATGGTGAAGTAGGGTCAGCCAGCACAGCGTGGGGAGGACTTCATCCAGCAGTGGATTAATAAAGAGATGTTCATTACGACAATAATTATCGGTTGACTCAATACATCGTGTTATATGGTTAAACGATATCCAGTGTAATAATGAATACCCATCTCTCCGCCATTTCCGCCACGAGTTGTTGCGATTCATGTCACGATTTTGGAATAGGTTATTTTTTGTTTTGTTTGTACTGTCTTTGTAATGTCTGTAACTATCTGTATAATTTGTTACATCGAATATCTGTTCTGTGTTATTTGTGTTCCGTCTCGTTGGTACCCTTAATTTTTACGTCTTTAATTTGTGATGGTCATCTTTGTATCGTCTGTCTCATTTTATTTCGTCTATTGTGCTTGTACCCTATGTTATTTTGAAACTGCTGTATCTTCTGTACTGTCAGCAATGCTACTTGTCTGTACTATCCATCACGGCAATATTCGGCGTGTTAAAATATAATGTTTAAACCTGTTAAGGCAATAACAATCTTATATTCTGTATTGTATTGGCAGCATTTACACAATTTTTGGCAGCTTAATTGTAATTGCATTTTCATTGGCTGCGTGTGCAGGTGCCTTTACCACACTTGTAAATGTTAAACATACCGCAACGACTTTCTGAATTATTCCGTGCCACTTTTTATAAAGTATTTAGAATGTTAAACGTGTCTGCAGTCAAACTACATTATGTATAGTGGATGTTTGTGTTAAGCCTCATTTAATTGCCTCATTTGTTAGCAGACAATGCACAATGACTGCGAGTCATCATGGCAAATACTGTATCACAATAGCACACGTGGCATACATTGACGTTCACGTGATTAACAGCTGTGGATTACAGTGGCATACAGAAAGTGTTGTACAATGCACGTGTGGAGTCGCATTTGTCACTCCACTGCTGGGTGATGACCTCCGGGCACCGTGCGCGTCGTGTTAATTAATTGACCATACTTCACCATGCTCGTTAGTGCGGGTCAATGCACAGTACTGTACAACAGTGTATGTTGCTGTACTACAACCCAGCCCCGCTACAACCTAACACGGTAATCACCCATTCAAGCACTAGCCAAGCTAAAACAACTGATGGGATGGAGGGCATTACGGCTAATTTAGTCACAGGCGGTGGGCTCGCATCTACTTATTAATAAACATCACGCTTTGTGTGTATGCACGCAACAGGTGTGATATCTCGCAGAGGGTGAGAGGCAGTGGAATGGAAGAGAAAGGGGATGCGAATAAAAGAGATAAGGCAGTGGTCTTCATTGCAAGGCCCGCGATCCTGACAATACACGACACGTGAAAACACCCCCCCCCCCCCCCCAGTCATAATTGTGCTGTCAATCCGCAATTGTTTAAAATGTGTGGCGGGCCCTCACGCACTGATGACTTATCTGTGAAAATGCCCACCCCACCCCACCCCCCTGAAAATTAGCGAAGAACACGAGCGTATGTGTGCGGATAGGCGGCAGGGAAGGGGAGAACCTGTATGAATGAGGGAGGGGAGTAGGAAGAAGGGGAGGGGAATGGGAGGCAGGGGAGGAGAGTAGGATGCAGGGTAGTGGAGTAGACAGCAGGGGTGGGGAGTAGACGACAGGAGAGGGAATGGCAGTATAGGAGGCAGGTGACAGCAGCACCCGTTGCCTCGGCAACGCGAAGGAGGCATTTAAAGAGACGGAGCTCTTGTCCATGACTGCGCGATATCCGTAAGTTTATTGTTTCCCTTCCATCGCCGATTCACATTCCTAACGTTTGCCACTGGGTGCATCCGCATCATTCAGGGCATGGGGTTGCGAGGGATGGAGACAAATGAGTGTGCAACATTCCCTCTGCGTTGCCGCTTTGCTACTCACTGCTCACTGTTGTTGATTGCTCCTTATTCAGTTGCTTCGTGAGTAGAGAGGCTGCATGGTGCGTGCATTGCGGATGTGTTCTATTGATAGTGTGTTGCGCGTGTGTGGAGTGTGTGTGTATGCACTGCATTCATTTTACGTGCAGTGTCCGTGCATACTATTGTGTACAGGTTGTGTTGCTAATGTGTTTTATGTAAGAGTCATGTCTGCGTGTGAATACATTGTACATGCTGTGGTAACAAAAATATGTTGTGGTGGTATGTATGCGCAGTGGCTACGTATGCATGAAAGTAATTGTGTAGTGTCTGTACCTACTTGGTGTATAGGATATGATGTTAATATGGTATAAGTATGTGTATATCTGGATTTTCATACGTAGTATTTGGTTTGTGTTGCTAATGTATTTCTGCATATGTATGTATAACATCTCTATGTGGATACATAACATGTACTGAGTTGTATTTATGTATTATTTGGTGTAATTGTACATGTGTATTGTCTTTATCTATTGTGTCATGTCTGCATGTAAATATATAGTAAATTAGTTGTGTCGCGAATGTGTTTGCATTTATGTATAGCATCTGTACGTGTAGACATTGTGCATGCGTTGTGCTTTAATGTATAGTTTGTGTGTAGAATAATTGTATGTCTATGGGCGATATCATAGTCTGTATATGTTGCATATGTAATGTCCGTATGGCCATTCATGACTGTCTAGCAAATGTGTTGCATGTGCATGCAGAGCGGTGGCGCAGTGGTTAGCGCGCTGCGCTACGAATCCGGTTGCCCGAATTCGATACCCGCTCACGGCCAACACCAGTGACGATTGTCTGAACCGGTTCTGGGCCTCCATCTAGGTCGACTTAGCCCCAAATGAGTACCTGGTGAGGTGTGTAAACATCGCCACTGGGGAGATTAAGACGGTCGGGCGTGGTGCTGCCAACCCACCCCCTCGTGTGTCGTACCGGTCTTCAAAGGTGCTCACGAACAGCACTTGTCCCTAGAGTATGTTAGGGCTATATGGGGGATCTGTGGCTTTGTGTACGGGCTGTGTTGCAAATGTGTTGGATGTAGTTTTTTGCTTGTGAAGTATGTGACGGGTTTTATTGCAAATGTGTTGGATGTAGTGTTTTGCTTGTGAATTACGTGAAGGGGGTTATTGTAAATGTGCTTGCATGCTCTGTATGTATGTTGTTTGCTGTAGCCACCATAGTGGGTCGTGTTAAATAGACACAACATCATGTTACATGTGTATTAGTACGGTATAGCATTGCATTGTAGTGTGTTTATATTACGCTTTGCGTTGGGCTTCGTTCTAGACACAATAAAGCATGTTAAATGTGACAGTG